CCAGAATATTTTGAAATCTAGTGTCCCTGAAATGCGATTTCCTGCATATTCGGGGTGTGAGTTTGCATAAGTCCGAAGACTGTATAATGCATAAAAGGCATGATTTTTCGTGATGGAAAATGATGGGTTGGAATAAAGCGAATTACTTTTAAAACCGAATGATGGTTGAAAGTAAATATATTTTACATTTAAAAACCCAAAGTAAACCCTTTCTTCTTGAGGCCATATGTACTTACTTAGACAAGATTATACACAATTATATTGTGGATTTGAATTTTATTTCACCCCCCCCCCCGTTGGCTAAATCCTGTCCAGCATCCCCAAGTTGAAGATCCTCTCAACGCCCCTGGTTGTAATTTAAGAGCACACAAGAATAGGATGGGAAGAACTACCATACGGCCATACTATGTTCTTCTTAACTTTAATGTTGGAGGGGGATGAAAAATTTTCAGACTGTTCTAAAGGGGTGGACTACATTTTTAAACACATTAAAAGGGAGGGTCATTTTTATTATGCTATTTGAATTTTAGAATCCACCAGCTACTCCCCCCCCCCCCAACCGATAAATAATGAACCCTGAGTATTTTATGTTTCCCGGTGTATAATTCACGTATTAAATTTGCAAAACATATAGACTACAGACGTATAAACAACATGGCAAACATGCACTTTCATGTACTACAAAAACTCTCTGACAGCCTGTGAGCAATATACTACATTTAAACCTTTTTAGAGTCTTAGAACATACAAATCTTTATTCTATATTAATGAATTACCTTTTCTACGTCGTGCGAGGCTTCGAAATCCATCAATACGCATAGGAGAACGGGGCTGATGTTTTCTGGGGGGGAGGGGGCAGTTGAAAGTTTTCCTGAATTTTTATGGAGAATTGTAAAGAAATAACCTATTTTAACATATTTTCTCACAAATCTGCCCGAATTTTCTTGATTTTTCCTAGCGTTTGCTCGAATTTCCATGGTTTTCCAAAATTTTGGGGGGCAGTTGCCCCCCCCCCCCTGTCTCGTACGCCTATGTCAATAAGGCATTTACACCATGAACATAATACGAAGCCAAAGTGAAAGTGTGAAAGTGTGAAAGTGAAAGAAACTTTAAAGAAAGCGTGCTAATTCTCGTATTTTACTCGTATGTACTCGTATTTTACTCGTATGTACTCGTATTTACTCGTATGTTACTCGTGTGTACTCGTATGTTACTCGTGTGTACTCGTATGTTACTCGTGTGTACTTGTATGTTACTCGTGTGTTATTCGTATGTACTCGTATGTTACTCGTATGTACTCGTATGTTACTCGTATATGTATTCGTATGTTACTCGTATGTACTTGTGTGTTACTCGTATGTTACTCGTATGTACTCGTGTGATGTTTTAGTCACGACGTTCTTGTGACATAAAACTGACATTTGTAGTTAGACTATTTTTCGTGGAGGTCGCGTAATTTTGAAGACCGGTGTAATCTAGATCTGTAGGGCAAAATTATCGATGAGTGTAAAGGTCCAGACACACCGGACGCGATTCGACAACGCGACGCGATTTTTCGATTTTCACTGACCGATAAGTTTGATCCTAGTTTAAATTCCCAAATGTTTGGAAGCGCTATGACATTTTGAGTTATTTGGTCTACATATCTTTCAAAATTTGCTCTCATTGGCTGTTTTATTAACTTTCAAAAACTAAAAAATCGCGTCGCGTTGTCGAATCGCGTCCGGTGTGTCTGGACTTTAAGCAGGGCCGCCGGGAGAATTCCCGGGGCAAATCTTCCCTGAGGGCCCCATGACATCATTATTAGGGAGTTTACGATCTGCGACGCGGCCGGCTCAACGACGCGGTCTAAATTTTAGCTCAAGAATGAGCGCTAAGCAATTCGATTACTGTAATAAATATTTGACTCTTTCAAATAACCTTACAAAATGCTACGTTCGGCTAAAGCGATGCAGTGTTTGCTGTAATTTCGACTTTTAGTAATACCTCTTGTGTCGCATTAAGCTTTCGCGTTGCCTGAAAGACGCAATAATGCTTTTTTAACGTTGTGTTGAGAATGACAACGCATTTGACAATATACTCATGGGACCACAAATTATTGACAGTTTTTGTCTTGCATGACAAATTTCTTTGTAAGTTCTTTGTAGGTTTGCATGGCGATAAAACACATAATACTATTGTTTGTGGAAACACCTAATTTCTTTGTTTTGAAAGCGCGTCGTCGAGTCGGCCGCGTCGTAGATCGTAAACTCCCTATTGTTAAGCTAGACCCAACTAGACCTTAGCTAGACTGCACGTGGAGGTACTTTAAGGGGCCCTCAATTTCAAAAATGCGCTGAACAATTTAAAGAACCTACTCATTGTACTCAATTTTAGGCTCTTCAGGTGGGTGCCCCGGACAATTAATTTGCCCCTCTGCCCCCCTGCCCCCCTCTCTGCTGCCCTGGGTGTAAGCAGCGACGCGAATCAGCACACAATATTATTATTATTGTGATTAAACTATATTTGAAGAAGATTAATTTGCGAGAAATATGCCAGCTTAGCTGAAAAGCCAATCTTCCACTGGACTTTTAAAATTAACTAAATATCTGTACAGGACAATTTACATTCATATTACATACATAAATTATTAAAACTAAGTAATGTTAAATAATATCCATTATTTTTATTATGTACATCATTTACACTTCACATTATTGACTATTGGGGAATTTTCCTCTTGACTCGGAGGAGTTTCTCTTGGTGTGGGGGTTCTTCTTCCCGCGATGTCATGGGATTTTCGTCCGGGATTAGGGCACTTTCCTCCTCATCTTGGAGTGCGAACGAGGTTTCTTGCGAAACCATTTGATTTCCTTCCAGTAGTGAAGCGTTTTCCTCCCGTCTTCCGAGTATTTCTTCCAATGTACGTGGCAGCAGTCGTTGTTCTGCCACTTTCCGTTTACACCAGAGTCCAGGTTTACAATCTCCCGCCATCCTTTTGGAATTGCCTTCCAGCACCGGCCGGGGTTTTGCAAAAGCAATTGTACACGAGCAAATTATCAAAAGCCCCAGAGAAACCGATTTCATGCTGGAAAGAGAAAATAGAATTAGCCACTTCCCAATCAAGCAGAGGACTGGGTTTAGTTGATGTTTGGAGGGACGACAGGATAAGATAAGATAGATAGTGAGCGAGCTAAATATACCGTAAACCTCCGAATATAAGCCCCCCCCCGAATACAAGCCCCCCCCGTGTATAAGCCCACCACATGTACTAACGCTCACCTGGCCTCATCCAAATATAAGCCCCCCCCCCCGAATATAAGCCCCCTCATTGTCCTTATAGCTTATTATGTTAATCAAAGCGCGTTATTAATATATGCTTATTTTCCTATTTATGACTGACTTGTTTATTACTAACACAAAAGATCGTCCATGTATAAGCTCCCCCGTATATAAGCCCTCCCCCCTTGTATATAAGCCCATGAGGGCTTATAGTCGGAGGTTTACGGTATCTTAAAAGATGCCTTATATTATAATCGTTGCGTTTCAGGCTGCACAAATAACTTTAGGAATATAGGGAAACTTCCTAGATGCCATATGCGGCATATTGTTTATTTTTTGTCCGTCCAAACAAGCGACTGGACCAAGTCAGAGGCTCGATTGGCCAATGGCTAATACACTTGCCAATACTCTACGAGACATTTGCCTATAACTTCAACCATATCGTATCGAAACATAGCGTATTTCTTTGTTTCCTGAGCGGTAGTGTGGAATTAATGACTTCGACACAAAAGAAAATGCTACGTTACGATTGAAGGCCGATTTCCACTTCAACCGTATTGGAACGTGTCGCGATATCGTAGCCGATTTTCTTTAGTGTCGAAGTCATTACCGCTCGAACTACCGCTCAGGAAACACAGAAATACGCTACCCTTCGCTACGATGCGACTGCGGTGGATAACGGCCGTTCAGGGCCGTAGCGAGGGTGTATTGGAGGGGGGGGGGGTTAACCCCCCAACTTTTTTAGAATGGTTAGATGTATCTATTACTTTAGTATTGTGGAAAACATGCTGGTTTGATTTTGATTACACTTTGCGTCATCGTCGGGGTATAGTTCTGAAAAGGGCTTTAATATGCTGAAACTGTTGGCAAGTATACAGCAAAGAACGCCATGTTGTTGAAAACAGGATTGAACAATGTTTTGCTGCCCACATTGTTCATAGCTGTCAACAATATTGAACAATATTGTTACACCCGATTCAGGCTCAACAATGTTGTTCAATATTGTTGACAAGTGTGAACAACGTTGACAGCAAAACATTGTTCAAGCCTGTTTTCAACAACATTGTTACAGGCTGGCGTTTTTTGCCGTGTAGAGAGGTGTTCAGATTCTGTGTGATATGAATGTTCCTTAGTTCTGGTGTACAAGCAGCGGTCAATTTTGCCGATGTACCTACTATTACATCCAGGGAATCCAGGGCAAGTAAATTCATAGACGACAGAGCTTTGATAAGTTTTCAGGGAACTTCTAAGCCTATATTAAATCCGTACGATTGATAAGGCCAAATAAAAAAAAAACTGTCCCACCGCCCGCCTCTCGATTTCTGCCGCCTCTGAATTTTTTGTATTTTTTTATGTAAATCTCTTCGTTTTACAGCTTAAAACAGTTTAATATTTGAAATATTTCTCGCGCTATATACTGATCGATAACCAAGCGCGTGGGATTGGGTATACAAGGTTCTTATAGCAAAATGGCGGCCTTCCCAACATCAGTACAAAAAATATCACCGATTGATAGTGGAAAAACCGTCCCAATCCCCCCCAAAATACTATTAAAAAATTTAAAAAACGAGTAAAATTAATGAAAAACCGCCCTCCAAAATTTGTCAGTGTGTGACACTAACCAAGTATTTTTTTTATTTGGCCTAATGTACCACGAATTATCTTTACTACCATTCAGTATTTGAAGGAGTTTGTTTTGGCCGTCGTCGTCGTCCGCGTCCTAAACTGTACTCGAGTGATATTTTTCATAAGCGGGCATACGCCAGTACGACATGCAATAGTGTGACAGATCCTTTACTTGTACATATGAATTTTATTACTTACTTGTACAGTTCGAAGCTGGCTTTGCACCTTTTGTACTAAATAAACTCTTCGTGTTGCTGCGCAATGAGTGTCCCATGACATCAATGTCCGACAGTTCCTTATATACACTGTGTGCAATACGCCCGCGTGCATGGGATAGATCGTTTCTGTCCACGAGAAACGTCATAATATAAAGTAAGCCTAGCTTGTCTAAGATTTGCTTGCAGAGGAAATTGTATAGGGTGCTTGTCAATATCCCCCTTCCTAACAGCCATAATTAAGAGTTAATATGAGCTTTTGTCAATTAATAAAAGCTTTTGTTAATAAAAGTTTTCTCACGTCCCAACAGTAAATATTTGGTTGGCGTGGTTGAAAATCTCGCTGAGAAATAAAAGCTTAATTTTGGTCGCGGAAATACAATTTTCATTATTTTATGTGATAAAGTTGAGGACGGGAATTTGACCGTGACTGAAAATTAAAACTTTTAGTTTACCTAACATGAAGACTATTATAGATAGACTTGCCACCCGCTGACACAAGAAACCACAGGCTTTAGCTACACGCGTAAAAACGCTCAGTTTGATGCAATACTGATGAAAAGAGGATTGAACAATGTTTTGCTGCCCACATTGTTCATAGCTGTCAACAACATTGAACAATGTTGTTACACCCGATTCAGGCTCAACAATACTGCTATATTGTTGACAAGTGTGAACAATGTGGGCAGCAAAACATTGTTCAATCATGTTGAGCAGCGGGCTTGGCGTTTTTTGCCGCGTAGTCGATCAAAAAACAAAAGCACACTTTTCGCATTGTCTGCTTGTGTTTTTAAGAAAATGGCGAAATTTTTATTGCGATTTTCAAAATGTGAATTATGTTCGAGATTGGTTGGACCAGAATGGACTGGGAACTGGTTGAAAGTTGAAGAATTTTAACATTCATGAGGCATTTGACCACCACTTAGTTAATTTAATTTTTGCTGCCGAGCGCTAGCTCGGCAGCACACTATTCTTGACATTCACTTGTGCCCAGTCTCTTTGGCCGAGTTATGTATTGTCGACGTGAATCGAGATTTGTTCAAAATTTGGATGTCCGTCGGCAAACCGGGGGGCCACGGGGGGCGACACATCAGGGAAACGCGAATGCTAATGAACGTGTCTTCACACAGTTCACAGTCGTGAAAGATATTATTCGATGTGTCAGGGAGTGATCATAATTTTAAAGGTATTACAAGTGCAGTTTATATGCCACAACTTTACTGGTAATATTCGTGGAAGTATTCATCAACGTGCGGTTTTGAGACTACGTCTACGGTTTAGACTT